TTTTTTTTCATTTTTAAAGCAGTGTTAAAAAATTATTTACAAAGTCTGAATTTCAACATGGATTAAAAGTTAGGAATTTTATAATAAGTTAACATGATTGGGGGATAGTTGCTAGTTGTAATTGCCTAGAATCTGATCATCATCATCATACATGAGCCATGTGTAACTAACCAACCATACACCAGCCACTACACTACCGTGAACACATACCATTACTAGCTGCCAAACATGGTTATCCGCGTCGAGGTCCGCTCCACTCTGCCAGACTTACAAAATCACCATTGTCGACAGTTGTCAGCAGTATTGCCATGATCACTCAAACCACAACTTTTCCTTATCTCCTGTGGACCTTCTTGCTGTTAAGCAAAAAGGCAACAGATGACAGGAAATGTGCACAACCGTCTCTGTCCGACCCGGGAATCGGAGATTATAAATGTCATGCTTAAAATTCAGGTGGAATTTTTTTTTCATGAATAATGGGAAGACCTGTGACAAGCCGGCGGCTTCCTATCACCGTCGAGGCCACTGAAGATGGTTTTCCACAGATAAAAAATTCTACAAGTTATTCAATAAATGGAAATTATGCAATACCAGGATAAGGCAAATAATACACAACTTTCATCATCCCGGATAAATCTTTTTGATAACATTCTAAAACTTACACTAAATCACTCAACGTAAATATTATGATCATTTTTGGAGAGGCTTCCCGAGCCATGCTGACTTCAACACCACCTTAACTTACATCAAGAGACTTGGTCTTGATTTAGCGTGGGGGTTTATGGGGGGTCTATCGACCCCCCCCCCCATAAACGTAAATTCTTGGTCCTGTAGCAAGTATATTATGTCAACAATATGCCGACGAGGAGTCACAATACCGTTGATGAAATATGTTGACCAGACCACACACACTAGAAAGTGAAGGGACGACGACGTTTCGGTCTGTCCTGGACCATTCTCAAGTCGGTTGTTACTTGACAATCGGCTTGAGAATGGTCCAGAACCGACCGAAACGTCGTCGTCCATTCACTTTCTAGTGTGTGGTTTGGTCAACATGAAAACAATATACTCGCTCCAAACTCGCAGTAGCTCTCAGTAACTCTCCAAACTCTCAGTAGTATATAGTGAGAGTAGCACAACTCTCACTATATACTTCTTACAGTCCTGACAACAGTCTACTGACCAACCAGCAAGTACACTTGGTTTACACTCTTAGAACATGCTCCAGACTAGATTGAACTCTTAAGTGTATAAACACTTAAGATCACCATGCCCCTCCTGGTCTCTCTCTCTCTCTCTCTCTCTCTCTCTCTCTCTCTCTCTCTCTCTCTCTCTCTCTCTCTCTCTCTCTCTCTCTCTCTCTCTCTCTCTCTCTCTCTCTCTCTCTCTCTCTCTCTCTCTCTCTCTCTCTCTCTCTCTCTCTCTCTCTCTCTCTCTCTCTCTCTCTCTCTCTCTCTCTCTCTCTCTCTCTCTCTCTCTCTCTCTCTCTCTCTCTCTCTCTCTCTCTCTCTCTCATATAACATGTGTGTATGTTAAATATATATATATATATATATATATATATATATATATATATATATATATATATATATATATATATATATATATATATATATATATATATATATATATATATATATAACATACATCCTGGAACCAAAGGACAAATCTTTAAGTGTATTTTCTTCAAGAGTTCCCACAGACGCAGCGAACTGACACTGCTAAGACAGTTATCTTGCTTTTAGTTATCTGACAGCTTTCAGCTTTATATATATATATATATATATATATATATATATATATATATATATATATATATATATATATATATATATATATATATATATATATATATATATATATATATTATACTTTTTAATATAGACGAATTAATCTGAATCATAAATATGTAGTTCCTTAAGAAAATACAATGCTGAAAACAACAATGATGATGAGACTGGCAATTTCCAATTCATTTGGATACCTCTACGGTAAAGATTTTAAAGATTAGAGTCAAATAATTTTAGATTTATTATTTTGAATCATAAATATTTATACAAAGCAATAACCCATTTCACATATATATAATTTATCAACCTTAATTATGTAATATTTAAGTATTTTATTAAATACTTTTAAATATTCAATAAGTTAATAAATGTAAGAATATTCAAATAAATACGAGTGCAAATATCAATTGCTTGCAAGACACGAGCAATGTATTCGGCTCAGTGATGTAATACATCTCATATTGTTGTCGTTCAAAAGTACAAAATAACTTACATGGAGACACACAGATTTTAGACAATTTAAAAGAGCATGTATAGAAAAATTAATAGAAAAATGTATACATGTATTCATGCATGTATACTTTATTACCGACATAGTGGTTATCTTCAGGGTTATCTTGATATAATTTCGGGGTTAGCGTCGCGGCGGCCCGGTCCTCGACCAGGGCCTCCTTTTTGTTACACAGCCCCAGGAAACCGCCCGTAGCAGCTGTCTACCTCCCAGGTACCTATTTACAGCTCGATGAACAGGTGCATCGGGTTGAAAGAAACTCTGCCCATTTATTTCAGCCTCCACCCCGGTGATCCCCCTTCACCGGGGATCGAACCCGGAACCTCAGGACTACGAATCCCGAGCGCTGTCCATTCAGCTATCAGGCCCCTTGACTGATCAGTTGAACGTCATTATTTAGGAAAGATGTACAGGTTTCGTAAGTAGTTGTGCAAATGCTTGAGGAGTCTTGGCCCTGGCTAAGTGGTTAGGCAGAAGCAAGAGGAGAAACTTGGAAACAACCTGTAGCAGATTGATGCAGAAAAGCCTAACATGTATAGATATACACTCTGGCTGCCTGTCCCCATGAATTAGTAGTAATATTATTTTTATTATTATTATTATTATTATTGTTAAATTCAGATGCATGAATGAGTATGGCGTGTGATAAAGGAGCGACTTAAATAAATATAAATGTATTAGTTCAAAGACACACAGCGGCTGTCGATTACTGGATATCAGCGGTTTAATATATGAAGCGTCTAACTGTACCCTACAGGTACAGTTAGACGAGTATACTTTGACGAGGACATTTTCCGACACAAATCACGAAGCCAAAACCCATTTTATGAAATGGGTTTTCATAAGACCAGAGTGTTCGGTTAATCCTTGAGGAAATATTTCGTTTTCTTTTTCAGAGTGTGGTGGTATGGCAGCCCTCACTATCTTAAATGTAACGTAGCTATCAATAATGATGATATACTATAGTGATGGTATACATCAATATACACTATAATGATGGTATATATTCTCAAGACAATCGACTTGAGAATGGTCCAGGACGGACCGATACGTCGTCGTCCCTTCATATTCTAGTGTGTGGTCTGGTCAACATCAGACTAGACCTATATAGCACTTGTAGGTTACATGTAGCAATACGGACTGTTGCTTTCTTGAGAGTTCCCGTTGTGTACTACGGATTGTGGCAAGGGCCCCAGGAAGAAAATTTAACATACACTAGTCTCTCCTAGACACAGTATAGAGCAAATAGGTGGGAGGTTATGCCTAAATTAGGCATAAGAGTGTGTGTATATTTGGTCTACGATTGCATATGTTAGATCTAGGAAAGGTTACGTTCGATTGGTGTAGACTTTGAACGCCCTACAGAATACCATTTGTATAATACGTAGAGTCTTTTGCGGTGCACCAGTTCAAACTTTGTGTACAGTCGTTCTAAGTACATTAAATACATAGCTTTTACCTAACTTTCATACAAACCATTTAATGGTCATATTTTACGGCCCATCCTCCTGTTTTGGTAGTACTTATAGGAAGGATGAGGACCTTAGTGTATATACTGGCGTACAGCGCAATTAGAAAGTAGAAATTGGTACTATTGAATTTGGACAAGCAGGAAAAACGATTTTCTACTTATGTTGAAAAGACAAACTAAAGTAACCTAACCTAACCTTCCTAGGCCTAATACACGCTATGAGAGGCCTAATATAGTACATATGTGTGCTATACTAGGATAAGATATATTTAAATTTGTTTTTAAACTTAATTTTTTCGGACTATAATGTGAATAGTACAAAATTCTACTAATTGCTTAGTACGTCAATGTTTGTACTACGGTGCATATAGTTACAAAAAAGTACTATCTAACCAGGAGGATGGGTTATATTGTAGCACACTTGCTGGGTGCAATCTACAACACACACACACACACACACACACACACACACACACACACACACACACACACACACACACACACACACACACACACACACACACACACACACACACACACACACACACACACACACACACACACCACACACACACACACACACACACACACACACACACACAACACACACACACACACACACACACACACACACACACACACACACACACACACACACACACACACACACACACACACACCCCACACACACACACACACACACACACACACACACACACACACACACACACACACACACACCACACACACACACACACACACACACACACACACACACACACACACACACACACACACACACACACACACACACACACACACACACACACACACACACACACACACACACACACACACACACACACACACACACACACACACACACACACACACACACACACACACACACACACACACACACACACACACACACACACACACACACACACACACACACACACACACACACACACACACACACACACACACACACACACACACACACACACACACACACACACACACACACACACACACACACACACACACACACACACACACACACACACACACACACACACACACACACACACACACACACACACACACACACACACACACACACACACACACACACACACACACACACACACACACACACACACACACACACACACACACACACACACACACACACACACACACACACACACACACACACACACACACACACACACACACACACACACACACACACACACACACACACACACACACACACACACACACACATTGACCTAATAGCCCAATAACAATGGCTCACATTATACAACAATATTAATTGGAAATGAAAACGTTTAACAAGTTTACATACCACAAAATCTAGATTTTCTTATGTGTAAACAATTATTCATATTCATACCTCTGTATACAATATAAAACACTCTTTTTTTCCTGGACCAACACAATCACAAGAGAGGTAGTTGACAAACGAAGCTATAAGCACATGGACGCTGCTCCACCAACACTGCCTTGAGCCAGAGCAAAGACGGATGTTTAACCAATTTTCTTCCCCATGGTTTCACTGACGAAGAAGGTGGTGAAGACAATCCCGAGGAGGCAGATGGAGGCGTAGAAGAGGTAGAGGCCGGGGTTGGTGAGGCCCTCCAGCATGGGGGTGTAGAGCTGCAGGCTGGCGAAGGCGAACAAGGTGGACAGGGAGTAGCAGATGCTGGTCGCCTGTAGGAAGTAAGATGACAGGGGGTCAGTACTGTCTGTTGGTAGAGGGCGCTACTGTACCGGTGGGAGGGTCAGCACTGCCTGTAGGGAGGTAGCGGGGGGGGGGTCAATACTGCCTGTAGGAAGGTGGGGGGGTCAATACTGCCTGTAGGAAGGTGGGGGTCAATACTGCCTGTAGGAAGGTGGGGGGGTCAATACTGCCTGTAGGAAGGTGGGGGGGGTCAATACTGCCTGTAGGAAGGTGGGTCAGTACTGTCTGTAGGAAGGTGGGGGGGTCAATATTGCCTTTAGGAAGGTGGAAGGATCAGTATTGCCTGTAGGAAGGTGGGGGAGGTCAATACTGCCAATAGGAAGGTGGGAGGGTCAATACTGCCTATAGAAAGGTGGGAGGGTCAATATTGCCTTTAGGAAGGTGGGAGGGTCAATATTGCCTGTAAGAAAGTGGGACGATCAATACAGCCTGTTGAAAGGTTAGGTCAGTACTTCCTATTTAAAAGATGTATGGGGTCAATACACCTAGATAATTCATAATTATAAAAAATTATCCGTTAATAATTATAATTTGTATATACTTATCTGACGCTTTCATATTTTAATTTTAATTTTTGCGTCATCATGAGTCAATAATGCAATTTCTCTAAATTTACATTTTTGAAGATTATATTTTCTCTCAGAAGGCTTCAACTGAATGAAATATTGACTGCGAGAAACATATTTTTGGTAATTTTATGAAGCACACCTTCCCTTCTGTATATATATATGAATGTAAACAAAATGTTCTAAGTACTCATGAAATTGCAGGAAGCCTATTGCTCCAATCGAGTTTTTTTTATTAGCCAATACAAGGCAGCTATTATTTATACCTGGCCAAACTTATTCACATATGTCTAACTACGGTTGCAGCAATCAAGTGATCCCACGTTTATGTATTATATTATTGTGTAATTTGCTTCATAAATCATCAACCCTGTTATCAAACCAGCATTTACCCAGGTCTTTCCTAAATCTAAACTCAAACCATTTGTATGCATTTGTATACAGAGAAGTGTGCCTGGACATCACGCCCTGTCCGGAAATCTCAAAGCCCGTGTCATTGTGTTGTGAGGAGAGTGTACTAAGACTGTCATTGTGTTGTGAGGAGAGTGTACTAAGACTGTCACTGTGTTGTGAGGAGAGTGTACTAAGACTGTCATTGTGTTGTGAGGAGAGTGTACTAAGACTGTCATTGTGTTGTGAGGAGAGTGTACTAAGACTGTCATTGTGTTGTGAGGAGAGTGTACTAAGACTGTCATTGTGTTGTGAGGAGAGTGTACTAAGACTGTCATTGTGTTGTGAGGAGAGTGTACTAAGACTGTCATTGTGTTGTGAGGAGAGTGTACTAAGACTGTCATTGTGTTGTGAGGAGAGTGTACTAAGACTGCGGTACACACGCCACAAGACGCCTCGTCCCTACACCAGGAGGGTCAAGCACCTCCATCAACCACACGGCTTTACTCACGCACAACAAAAGTTATCTTTTGTCATCGTGTACCTTACTGCTTCATTAAACACATCACGTGGCTATCTGTGGGAGAAATTACCACACTTTCCTCGCAAGTCTAAGATTTGGGTTCGAATCCTGAACAGGGAGGAAGGATTCACTTCGATCGTCCCTGTGAACCCAGCAGAAACTGGGGAACTGGATGTAAAATGATTGATGGATCATGTTCTAGGGAAAAATATGCACCGAATGGCCTAACGAATTATAATGCTTGGCCTGAAACCTAAATGACAATAAAATTCAAATATTAGAGAGAAAATAAAGTTTCCAGCGCACCTCAGTTTCCCATCTGGGAAAAAAAAAATTCTGGTTCATATTTCCCCCAATATACACGAAGATGTTACGTTACAATTACCTGAGAGCGAATCCAAGTAGGGAAGTACTCCCCCATCAAGAGGTACGGGACAGGCTGAACACCCAGGGTCACTCCAGCTTGTGAGGTCATGATACAGACGAGAGGAACCCAGCCATAAGCGACGCCCAGCGCTGCGTCCGTCGACTTCACCCACAGGAAGGCTGCCATGCAGGAGAGCGCCACTAACATAGTGGAGAAGGAGAGGATCAAACTCTTCTTGCGGCCGATGGTGTCCAGGAGGAAGACTGCTGTAAAACCCGCTACAATCTGCAACAGAATGAAAAGTTAATAGGTTTTTCTGGACTGTTTCACTCCTGTGTAAACTTGAGTGATAAATCTATTTTTTCATTGACTTTTTTCCTGGAACGTATTGTTTTTGGATCTCCCGATATGTTCTATATATTTTGTGAACAGCAGAGGAAACAGGCGTTAATGCTGATTTACGAATACTTATAACATACCTGTATAATGATGATGATGATAGCACAAAGCCTGTTGCTGATGCTAGACGCAGCCTCTGCAAATATCCTGGAGGCGTTGCTGTTGATGACCAGGTAACCTGTCCAGGCAAACAACACAGGTGTCACCACAAGCAGTCACAGGTGTGTGTGGGGGGGACTAGTGAGGAGTGTTGTAATACATGGACTAATGCTTAGTGTGATGAGTGATTGTTAAGTGCTCACGATGGTCAGTTAATACTGGTCCAGTGCGTGTTGCGGCTGCAGAAGGAATTTTATGTTCAAGTTAATAAAATATTCACCATGTTTATATTAACATATGCGAAGCATTTGTATGTTAGATAAATCCTAGCAAGTTACTGCATTAGAGGGCGAGGCTACTAAGGGCGAGCTAGGCTACTAGGGCGAGAGTACTGAGGGCGAGCTAGGCTACTAGGGCGAGGCTACTGAGGGCGAGCTAGGCTACTAGGGCGAGGCTACTGAAGGAGAGCTAGGCTACTAGGGCGAGAGTACTGAGGGCGAGCTAGGCTACTAGGGCGAGGCTAGCGTGTAGTCAGAGTGACACTCACCCGTAAAGCTCTGGAGGGAGAAGAGGACGGTGATGATAACGATGGACTTGAGGACCTGGGACTGGCGTAGGCCTTGCCAGACTGAATGTTTCTCCCTGGCGTTGTTCAGCTCCTTGAAGGCATCCATTTCTTTCTCCAAGTTGATGTATTGACCTCGCAGTCTCAGCAGCACCTGCCTGGCCTCCACATCGCGACCTGTAACACATCGTCCACTTTACCTCGTGAACCAAAACTTCCACTTTACCCCGTAAACAAAGCCCTCCACTTTACTTAAACCGGTTGCTTATCCACTCTGCCTCATTCAACAACTTTCCACTCTGCTTTAGGAGCAGTTTGTAAATATTTATTATGCAAAAGTCATATATATCCAAATACGAGATGAAGACTGATGAGGTCAGGTGTGTAAGGTTTGGTGTCCACTGTGTGCTGTGGTCACTGGTGTTGCCATCTCTCTCAGTTTCTCACATATAAGTTACACTTTAATCCCTCAGACTTTAGGATTATGTAAACTAAGTGTATATACACTTACAAGTGGAGTAAACTCGGTGAATATATGGGGAATATTTCCCACTTACAACATAAATTTACTGCACAATAAATTTATATAATAATAATATATTCAGCTACGAGGATTCGTCGTCTGTTAAGCTCACTAGATTAGCTACAAATTATTATTACTTAAACTGAGTTATTATGAGGCTTTGTGCCGCTGTTATTACCATATGACAATATTATGTTGTAGCTTTAGGGGCGACGACGTATTATAATATTATTGCTAGGCTGGTGTAACACCTGTGACGTCACCGTGAGAATTGAGTCACTGAATTACTCTCTTAAGCCTCGTTGGTGAATTAAAGTGTGAAGATAAAAACTAACACACTTAATATTAAGCGAATCAATATATTCAGTCCAGATTTAGTAATGATTTCAACTATACAGCTCAACCCCCAACTGAATAAATAACTCTCGCTTGATCGACGACGAGAGATGAGGACGGGCCATAGTGTTGTTGTTGTGGAGACACGCGACCGGAGCGAAATCTGCGCTGTAGTGACCAGATATTTACTACCATAAACCTGCTTATCTGCCCTGCCTTGCTCCTGTGCCAGGTAAGTCCACTACGGGCTCACCATAGCCCGTGCTACTTGAAACTGCTTGTTCCGAGTAGCTGAAGCTACAACAACCTGCTTATCTGCCACAGCGTCGACTGACTTATTTCTGGGCAGCGTTACGTCTCCGTCTCACATAGGTTAGTACCTCACAGTTACTTATTGTTGTTGTTGTTTTAGATTTAGCTACTCAGAACAAAATGTCCATGTAGCACGGGCTATGGTGAGCCCGTAATTGAGTTCGGTTATTAGTGATAACCTTGTTACAATGATATTTCTCACAGTTCAGTAGTTGACTAATTTAATATCTAGGGATAGTGAGATGGTGAAGCAGCAGGACAACCCTAACTCTCAAGTAAGAACTAAGGCTTACACAGAGTCCTTGGTTGTTGAGAATTGATTAACAATAAGTAAGTTGTAAGTGATGATATTAATGTTTGATTCCTCGGCAGAAGAATCAACCTCACTGCGTCATCCGTGAGGCCGCCAGTTAACTAGGAGGCTGCTCTGTTCTACGGCTGACCATTCCACACTTACGCTATTTAGGAAACAACTAGACAGCTAAGACTATTTAGTATTTACTAACTCCATTCAGATAGCACCGGGATTAAATACTACCAAATTAATTTAGATCATATTAAACTTGAATGATATTAAATAAGTACAATTCCTGTTCTATCTGAACTAACACTAACACATTAAATCCCCCAGTATGGGAAGTGTGTGGAAATTAAAGTTCCTTATGTTACACAGTCTGCCACGAAGTTCTATAAAATACAGTAGACTTAAAATAATAAATTAAATATACAAACTTGGTCCTATACTCCCAGATATCAGTCAACACGGGAAAGTTAGTTTACCACTAGAAACTGACGAGGTGAAGATGTACGAGAAGGGAAGGGAACTCAGGGGAAAACGCGAAGTCATTACGACTATATAACACTTGGAAGGGGTCAGAAATAGTATTTGGGATGGGACGGGGGGGAAGGAATGGTGCCCAACCACTTGTGGACGGTCGGGGGATTGAAAGCCGACCTGCATGAAGCGAGACCGTCGCTCTACCGTCCAGTCCAAGTGGTGAGTGAAGACGCACGGGGGACACTAACCTTTGATGATGAGGAAGGAGGGGCTCTCTGGCAGCCAGATGACACTGAGGAGAAGCACGAGGGGGATGACGTTGTTGACCAGAGCCACGGTGAAGTAGCGGCCATGGTACCCCACCGCCATCGTCACCAGCTGACCTGTATGGACCAGCACAGTTCATAACCCGTCTTCCACACCTGGGGCCAGATTCACGAAAGCACTTACGCAAGCACTTACGAACCTGTACATCTTTTCTCAATCTTTGGCGGCTTTGTTTCCAATTATTAAACAGTTAATGAGCTCCGAAGCACCAGGAGGCTGTTTATAACAATAACAACAGTTGAATGAGAAGTTTTCCTGCTTGTAAACTGTTTAATAAATGTAACCAAAGCCGTCAAAGATTGAGGAAAAATGTACACGTTCGTAAGTGCTTTCGTGAATCTGGCCTCTGGCTAAACATCCATAGTCATTACTAGATCATTTGAGGAATCGTGGGGGGGGGGGGAGACCTTTAATAAGCCGCCGGCTTCCTGTCCCTTGTCGAGGGCACTAGACACACGGTGACCCCTGAGGTAATTTGCGGAAGTGCGTTAAACAGGTCCGCCAATGTGTTAGGTGATTGACAGCAGAGGCTCGGGGGGGGGGGGAGACAATGTCGTCGGGTTTAGGTAAAAACCAGGAGTAACTAGCAATATATACTGACGCATCGGCTCTTTATCAGCGTTCTATATCATTGACAATATAATAACACTTATTAATAAAGACGCGGCGCACACGCACACACACACACACTAGGTATGATAGGGAAATAGGACCATAGTCATTGCTGTAAACAACCGATGCTCGAAAGGCGGGATCCAAGAGTCAATGCTTGATCCTGCAGACACAATTAGGTGAGTACACACATACACACACACACACACACACACACACACACACACACACACACACACACACACACACACACACACACACACACACACACACACACACACACACACACACACCAGCGAGGAGGGAAGGCACAATGTGTGGCCAAGAAGACGACTAATCTTACATGATACGAGCCCACAGAGACTTCCTCACGCTGTCCTTGGAACACTACTTACGCCAGAGTTGAATACCCCGCACCATAAGTTTACCATTAACCAGATCCCTCCTTCTGTATAAACACAACACATTAATGCGAATAAGAAGTGTTCTGGACGTCAAACATCACAGCTGCAGCACATTCACACACACACCTTTATTAACACTATTCTTAGTCTACCAGACTATTTTAACAGTAAGGTTCTGCCAACCACTCTGTTCTCTCGAGTCGCCACATTGTAACACAGTTGTTTTGCTTAACCAGAAGCGCACGAACCTAACCCACTCGCCTAACGCATCGAATCCCATGAATAGCAAATACATAAATTAAGATGCTTTGATTTTTACCAATTCGTGACATTTTTAACTGATTGGTCGAAGTGGTGAGACATACGACGTATTGGGTGAGTGTGATGAGCAGGTGAACACAGACTCCATGTCAGTCTTTTATAATTTAAGCTATGAATCAATGGGTTGCTCGAACTGGGATCCATAAATAAACCTGCTCACACGCAGCCAAACTTCCGATCACGGACATTAGAATTAGACCCCAAATCACCCAATTCTTTTTGGATTTGTCAAAGTAGAAAATATTAACTTAATTAACGTGTACATAATCGTCTATATTATTCCCATTGTCGGGGACAGGAACCTATTTGGCTTATCGAGATCTCCCCTGACCTTTCCCTGGGTGCAACCCACAACAGTTCCCTAGTTCCACGGTATGTATTTACTGCTAGGTGAACAGAAGCATCAGAAGAAACTAAAAGGAAGTGATAAAACAGGGGAAACAAAAAGGACTGAGGAAAAGCTTGTGGTGAGTCAAAGGTCTTACCAAACTGGACGCCGAGGTTGATGATGACGGAGAGGGAGCCGCGCCACTCCGCGTCCGAGATCTCCGCCCGGTATGTGTTGACGCACACGCTGGCCCCGCCCGCGGCCGCCCCCGACACGAACCTGTACACGGCACCCACACTCGTCAGTATGTATGTACTCAGCTCTGCTGGCATGCTGGTCGGTATGTACTCAGCTCTGCTGGCATGCTGGTCGGTGTGTACTCAGCTCTGCTGGCATGCTGGTCGGTGTGTACTCTTATGAACAAAAATATATCAATTGACTTACTGTTATCCTTTCGCGAAAGAAATATTCATGAAAATAACGATAATGACAAATGTGACTTGGCGCCTCAAAACCTTTACAAGAATAACTTTCAAGCGCATGAACGGACTCACTATCATAGTGAGAATACTGCTTTTGAGTAATGCAATTTCTGAAAGGAAAAAGCAGTTCTTCGACTTGCTGTAAAATAGAGGTCCTCCACGATTTTCTATTAGCTAACCTGAATGACAGCTCCTCCCGGGGTGTAAACAGTTTTCAGCTCGGAACGCTATGCGTGTTAGTGGCTTTGCACCAATGTAAAAATACCTGTCTTATGTAATCTCACCAACCCATTGTATCTTCTTGTAAATAAATTATAAATTATGCGAGAAACAATGGGCAGAGTTTCTTTCACCCTATGCCCCTGTTACCTAGCAGTAAAATAGGTACCTGGGTGTTAGTCAGCTGTCACGGGCTGCTTCCTGGGGGTGGAGGCCTGGTCGAGGACCGGGCCGCGGGGACACTAAAAAGCCCCGAAATCATCTCAAGATAACCTCAAGATAACTTATTATTATTCTTGTTTGAGATTACTGTATAAAGGCAGCAGATGCCTCTCCAATGCCAGCCACTCAAGACTTAATTACCGATCTTCTTACTGATTTGCTACAACGATGGTCCAGGGCTGTTTGGAGGAAAGATTCCTCACGTTCTCTTTCTATCTAAATAGAAACCTCAGCTATTGGAACTCCTAGGGAGGTGCTTCTTATGGGGGCTCACGTCGGTCAAGGGCGGTAATTGGGAGGAGTTGGAGGTGTAGAAACTTTTCATCTAACCTGGCATAGGTCTAATGAAAATTAAAAACAGTACCCAGAAGCGGACCAATGACCACTATGCTTAGAAGTGACGACAGAACTTAATAGCATACATGCCTAATCTTGATGAAAAACCGTGACATGAAACTAACCCTGCTACAAGCAGGCCTAGTAAAGAAAGCAGGACGCTAGTTTATACGCTAAATACAAATGCAAATCCGTGCCGGGAAGCTGACCTTGCGACCAGCAGGCCGGGTAGAGAGGGCAGGAGCGCCACACCCAGCCAGCTCAACACGGCTGTCACGGCGATCACCACCATACTGAAGCGACGCCCCACCACCGCCATCAGCGCCCCGATCACCCACGACCCCGGCAGCGACCCCAGAGCTGCCAGACCTCCTGAGGATACACAACAACAACTGTTAACACCTCATCAAAAGTACACCTGTTAACACCACATCAAAAGTACACCTGTTAACACCTCATCAAAAGTATACCTGTTAACACCTCATCAAAAGTACACCTGTTAACACCACATCAAAAGTACACCTGTTAACACCTCATCAAAAGTATACCTGTTAACACCTCATCAAAAGTATACCTGTTAACACCTCATCAAAAGTACACCTGTTAACATCTCATCAAAAGTACACCTGTTAACACCTCATCAAAAGTATACCTGTTAACACCTCATCAAAAGTATACCTGTTAACACCTCATCAAAAGTACGCCTGTTAAGAGAACACGTGGACTTCTGTTAACATGCGAGGACCCAAGAACTCCTGTTAACACCTGATGACACAAAGATTGATGGTAACACACGATGATACACAATGACTCCTGGTAACACCTGAGGATACAAGGACTCCTGTATCGTCAAGTGATAACATGAAGGATACAGGAGCGTTGTAGCAAAGGCATAACTACCTGGATACTTGGAAATACTAAGGCGCCAGCCAAGATACACAGCACATCTGAACGGCACTTAGGTTCGGATCAGCTCGGACACATTAAGATAAGTTAGGTGCATGAAAAAGTTATGTCAGGGTAACGATAGGGTAGGATAGGTTAGAGAAGATTGGGTAGGATCTGATAAATTATTGTAGGTTATTTTACGATTGGTTAGGTTATATTAAGTTAGGGTAGGTTAGGTTATTAGGTTAGATTTAGGTTTGTAGGTTAGAGTATGTTTGGCTGGGTTTATCATAGTGAGGCCCGTTGGTCTGCGACCACTTCCTTTCCTTCACAACAGAAAACGAGATTTAATTCTTTTTGTCGGGGACAGAAAGCCTGTATATATATATATTACACATATGCATATAATTTAAACTTGTATCGAGGACTCGTATCGACCAAGGTCGAACTACTGACTATTACCTGGATGTAACTCACAATGTCAATCTCAGTAAGTCCTGTGTTTACAGACTTGGTGAGCTAGTTAGTTGCCTCTCTTGTAATATATCACACTTATGGTGCTAAATTGTTTTATTTTAGTAATCAGTTTGATCACACAATATTGTTGATGAAATGTATCCATTTGACGATGTTAATTGCTCACTGCCTTAACGTAAGACTTTTCAATATGTAAATTAACATAAAAATAATATCAAGCAAGACAGTAATAGTTATAATGATATCAACACATTTTGATTATCCTGCATAAGTTAAAGTTTCGATAATACAATGAAGCAATACAGTATAGTGATGTAAACCAACACAAATAAAGCTAAAAACAAAACAAACAGTACTTTTTAGATACTGTTGCCTAAGAGAGTGGTAGGGACAAGAAGCATATTGAGTCAACACACACCCAAGGCGTCGAGCTGGAAGCGTGTGAGGGTGATGGAGGAGCCGTAGATGGTGGTGTTGTCCGCCGCCAGGTCTTGTGAGGCGACTGAGGGGAAGGCCAAGATGGAGCCCATCGTCCACATGCCCGTGCTCGCCAGGAAACAGATCAACGCCTGCAATAACCGAGTCAGGATCGTTAAACAACGCTCGTCTTAGTGGTCTGCCGAAGGCCTTCTGTATATATAGCCAGCAAGTACACTTTTGTCCTGGACACTTTCTGTAACTTTCGTGAAAGCTTTCCAGGACCTTTCTCAATTAATTAAATTCTAACTTTTGGATGACTTTCTAGACATGAACTTAGGAATTGTGCTCTTATGTTTGTGGGAGAGATCGACCGCATCTAAGAAACTGGTTGACCAGACCACACACTAGAAGGTGAAGGGACGACGACGTTTCGGTCCGTCCTGGACCATTCTCAAGTCGATTTCGGTCCAAAACGGACCGAAACGTCGTCGTCCCTTCACCTTCTAGTGTGTGGTCTGGTCAACATACTTCAGCCAAGTTATTGTGACTCATCGCCTTCATAAGAAACTGGTCACAGGAAGAGACATATATATATATAACACCAAAGACCCCCTTATCTCGCCTCACCTGTTCCAAGAGCCGCCGTCTTCTCTCTGATGTCTTCTCCGTCTGGACTTGATCCTTTGCGTCAACTTCAAAGTTCTTTTTGCACTTGTCAGTCCCATATTTCACAGTGTCCGGATCTCCGGTGTAATAATACTTCCCCGCGACGTCTACGGAGTCGATGCTGCCAGTACTCCAGGCCAGGCTGGTCGTCGATGTACTCTGGGAGTTCATGGTTCACTTATCAAGGAGAACTTTGTTCGGGGTCTTCGTCTGGTCTCGCCGGACCTGGGTTGGGGTCTTCGTCTGGTCTCGCCGGACCTGGGTTGGGGTCTTCGTCTGGTCTCGCCGGACCTGGGTTGGGGTCTTCGTCTGGTCTCGCCGGACCTGGGTTGGGGTCTTCGTCTGGTCTCGCCGGACCTGGGTTGGGGTCTTCGTCTGGTCTCGACGGGTTACAACTGGGGCCTCATCTGGTTTACACTCTACCT